TCAGTGTGACCAGGCCTCCCTGTAGTGAATCTCAGCTCCGGGGGATTTGATTTGTGTCTTCGGTGTGCAAGATATTTAATTGGCCTGCATTTTTTACAATATTTAAGCTGTAATTGCACAAAGATAATTAACCAAATAGCCTTATTACACATTGGATAATAGTCCGAAGGACAGCCGTGTTGAAAGTATGGCCACACTTGAATAAAATATCATAACAAACCCGGCTGTCGATTAAAACACATTTATGCATAGCCAAATTTCCCTTCTCGCACTTCATTACCACATTCATCTGTACACATTCAGATTGTTTATTTCTCTCTAATTAGTAGGTTAATTGGCTCACTCTGTCTTATGCAGTTACAATATGGTGTATGTTTCAACAGCATTTCGCACCTGGAAATTGCACAGCTTCCTCGTGAAATGGAATCTCACCCACTTGTCCTTGCTCAAATTATCTTCCTAGATGGAGTGTGGTTTTTATTCGCAGGTTCAATTTATGTAGAAATACCGAATTCATTCCCGCAGCTTTTTGTTGGAGGAAATTGGCTCCTCATTTTATATACAGCAGCAGACCTTGAGCTACTGCTATCTAATGCAAAAGGAGATGGTGGTCTATTTTTATTAGATGGTATAAGCGAAAATCGCTCTTATAAAACTAATGGCGTATTAGAGAGTGACCCTCAAAAACACCCTATCGATTCCATCAGATCAGATTTTATGGCCACGTGTGCTTCCATTATTGCATTTGCCTTGGCATTACAGCACTTAGAGTTTTTGTTCTGCTTTTTTAATACAAGGAAGGTTCATTGTCAGTCTGGATAGTCACTGGAGAGAAGGATGCAAGCATGTTTCTGCCGAGGAAAAGCAGGCCCGGATCGGCCGGGGAGATATGTCTTTCTCTGTTTCATTCTCAGCTCTGTTCAGAAACATCTGCTCTCTGAGGAGCTTCCCTTGTTCTCACACTAGTGAAAGTCATGATGTCATCTTTAGAAGCTGGTTCTCATTCTTTTGTTGTTTAAATCTTTTTAAGTATTAGATGCACTTCTTTTATTATCCACCTTGAAGGGCATCTATAAGGAAAATCTTCTTTTGGGAGCTGTTTGGACAGAACTATGTGTAGGTATAGTGTGTTCACAGTCATATTGGAGTGATAGAAACACAATAAGTCTCTTTTTTAAATTTCCTGACATTAAAACTGGATCCAAAGGCCCATCGCAACATAACACAGGAGTGCAATTTCCCCGCCCACTGAATTGATTGACAGCTGGGTATTAAGATGTTTCTGTAGTAACGTGTATAATCTGTTCAGCTCTCTGTGATCATCAATCATCACCAAATGTAATCTAGAATGAATTTTTCAAGTTTAAAACGTTTGTAAAACGGTGCATGTTTGTAAGGAATTACAGCGATTTTACCATCTTTATCACCACAGCTGCATGTCAGTACAATAATAAAAGGTTTGGGGACATTAAATCTGGTTTATTTTGTATATGAACATAACGGATATCCAGCAGTGCATATTAATGCGTATCCTGTCACATTTGCCCTTTAAAAACAGTGCAAGGTTAAATGCAAGCGGTGTGTATGTGTGTCCGCTGTGTGTGTTTGTGCGTGATTTTTGTAACGACATTGTGTGTGACTCATTGTTGCAACTCCACAACAAATACATCAAATAATCATTATATAAGTTCTTACTGTAGTATTTCTCACAAACGTTACTTGAGATCTGCTTCCTTCATGTCTGTCACTGTGCTGTTTATCTGACGCAGAGATAAAGGCACACTCTGACAGGCACTTGAAAACGCTTGGTGGGGAAAACTAGCATTAAAGGCTTAGGCAACAAAAACAACTACATTGTGTTCAGAGCAGAGAATTGTAATGTTCTGGAAGGTATAATAAATAATCTGATGGATGTTTTAAGCTGAAACTTTACAGACACATTCTGGAGACACAAAAGTCTTACATTTCGAAAAAAAAGTAAAATTGGTGCCCCTTAAAGAGAAATATGTTCTTATAATTTTCTCACACTCATGCGGTTTTTAACTTTTCTAAAATTTCTTTGTTCTGTTAAACATAAAACAAGATATTCTAAAAAACTGGATATAGATATCCACACTAAAAATACTATGAAAGTCAATGGCTGTTTTCACCAACATTCCTTATTATATCTTTTTTTTTTTTTTTTATTCATCGCTGGGTGGCACGGTGGCTCAGTGGTTAGCACTGTTGCCTCACAGCAAGATTGGTCATTGCATGTTTGCATGTTCTTCCCGTGTTCGTGTGGGTTTCCCTTTGGGTCCTCTGGTTTCCCCCACAGTCCAAAGACATGCAGTGTAGGTGAACTGAATAAACTAAATTGGCCATAGTGTATAGGTGTGTGTGTATGTGTGTGAGTGAACGTGAGAGTGTATGAATGTTTCCCAGTACTTGGTTGCACCTGGAAGGGCATCCGCTGTGTAAAACATGTGTCGGAATAGTTAGTGGTTCATTTTGCTTTGTCGATCCCTGATAAATAAGGGCCTAAGCCGAAGGACAAGGAATGAATGAATGTTCATCAGTAGAAAGGCTCGGAAAAAAGATGAGTAAATAAATAAAAAGATAAGTAAATAAATAAAAAAAAGTTATTGAAAATGGTTATTCATTTCTGGGTGAGCTATCCCTTTAAAAAAAAATATTTATTTAGTATTTTTGTTGCCTTTTTGTCATGATTTTTAATGTTTTTGGTCCAATAATTAATTAACACATTAGTGAATCACATGGAAAATTTGATTTAATGTGAAAGAAAAATGCAAGTTTCAATCATCAGGCATCAGAACATACAAAGATGTTGGGACTTTTATAATGTGTCTTCTGTTCAATCAAATTCAGTGGTAACCTTTTCTGTCATTGTTTTTTGTATAATTTTACACTAAGGGAATGGGCTGTATATTATTTACATTAATGTTATGTGTTGTTATTTTAAATTAGAATAAATTTAGAGCTTATGAAAAAATGAAAGAGCCTACATGACAATGTCAAACTGAGCAGAACTGCGACTGCAATATGGTGTAATTTACATTGCCCAATGTGTGACTGACAACGAAAACAAACAGGAATATTTATTGTGCCTGGAGAAGAAACAGCATGTAAAATACTGGCTACACAGAGAAACATATCACTCCATGGTGCTAGCAAGGCTCGATTTATAAAAAAACAAAACAAACAACAACAACAATTTCCTGAAATTTGTGAAATGATTCTCTTTGATCATATGTATTTATTAGTGAGTGTATTCATTCAAAAAAACTTGTGCTACTAATGTATGCCTCTGTTTGGCTCATACATTCAACATAAGCTCATACATTCAACATAAATATGTGTGATGTAATGCTCAGCACTGGAAAAAAAAACTGAAAAAGACTCTGAAACTTGACTGTTGAATCTAGAATCTACAAAAACCTACTGGGAGCAGTTTGCTAGTAATTACTGTAAATCAATTACAGCAAAAATATTGTATTCCTACAGTAAAATACAGTTCACACTACAGTTAAATACTGTGTAATTTACATCAGTGTGAAGCAAATTGGCATCGGCACTTTAACAATGAGAATAATAGTAAATTAATTGTGCAATTTAATGTAATTTTTTGCAGCTTGAATCTGTTGGACAGTTTTGTTGGCCTCGGATTGTGATCAGTGCCAAATGTATGTCCCTATCAATCAATGAATCAAAACAAAATGTCATTAGAGGCTGATACAGATCGGCGGACAATCGGTTTTAACATTAGCATCCCTACAATTCCCAAATCACTACTTCAAATGGAAACACAGCTTTTATGTGCAAAACTGCAAGCCTTAGAGAACGAGTAGAAACTAAAACAGCCTGTATAATATTGAATTCAACCTCCTGAGGTTGGCAATTTATATTCTGAAGGTTAAGAGTTTTGGGCCCCATTTTATTTCCTATTTGTTGGAAACGGCAGCATATTTTGCTGTGCAACCCCTATGCGAGACTGCTTCTCTAGGGGAGTTATTTGGACGTTACGATTCAGCTCTCTTAATTCATATGACAAATTGTTGTCCCTGTTCTGGGTCTCCTGCATAGAGAGCAGTTTTCTGGGTCTTTATTTTGCTCTGTTTCTCCAAGGAGCAATACCTCAGCTGTCTGCTCATGATAGTCTCCAGTAATTATTAGCTGTTGCGCTGAAACGCTGTGTTGGTCTGACAATTAATGCACGTTTTTCAATGTCTGACATGTGGATGAAATAAAGAAAGCACTGATTTATTTAATAGATCTGCTACCTCTTTAATAGTTGCTCTTTCTGCTGTATTATTTACCAGACAGTGGGCATTTACTTCAATCTCTCAAATGAGATACATAGAAGTAAATGATCAGCGTTGAGCACATTGTTCTGCTAGATGTGAGGATTATAACCAATGACTCAGAATATTAGGTGAGGTAAATGTGCAAATCTCTTGTGTCTTAACAATATAAGCCAATCTGAATGAGTTTGTGGTTCAAAAATGTGTGTGAGGAGGAAAAACAACAGGAAATACATCAAGTCTGCCTTTTATTGGAGCAATATTCATCTGTCAAACAAATAAAACAATCACATTGAACATCACAAACCATATCATTTTATAACAAATCATAGATTATTTCACACTTAGTAGTTCAATATATGGACATTTCATGTTTTTTTTTTTTTTTTTTTTTTTTTTTTGGTAAAAAACTATTTGAGTCTAAAAAACCAATAAAGCTACATTAAATAAAGTAAACTTAAGGATTTAATTCAAACCCAGAAATGTAATCATCTAAAAATCATTTACTACAGCTGATTGTAAATAGGAAGTAAGTTGTTCCATGTCTGTTGTAAAATCCTGATGAAATTGGCATCACTATGTGAAGATGCTTGCGAATGTTCTTTTAAACAAGTAACTGAATATTTATTTAACTATAATGTTGTGCTATCGACTGCAACTAGACATTTCTAAAAGCTTTCCTCCCTCTTTTTTTCTCAGGCATAATGGCTGATAAAGAGAAGGACGTGCCAGTGGTTGAGGATGAAGATGAGCCAGATCTGAACTACCAGCCTCCAGCACAGAAGAGCCTTCAGGAGATCCAGGAAATGGACAAGGATGACGAAAGCCTGACTAAGTACAAGCAAACCCTCCTGGGCTCAGGACCTGTGGTGGCAGGTTGGTTCACTATCACTAAAAAACAGGACCTTTTGACATTCATTTGCTGTCTGTGCACATTATTTAGGATATTTTATTTGTCGGAACGCAAGTTACACCAAAATTGCATTAGTGTATAAACAAAGTAACTTTAAGACAGCATTTCTCAATCCTGGTCTTCACACATCTTACTTAACACACCTGATTTAGATAACCAGCTTGTTAGGAAGTTTATTGCACCCTATAGTCCATTCCTCATCATTACTCTTGGTAAAGTCTAGATCAGATACGCAGCCGGCCAGAAGTGTGATATGCACATCAATATAGCAGCATTTTTTATAACACTATAACAATAATTAATATTTTTACAGTACTGTCACAGTTGGTTTAGGGTTGGGGTAGTGGTAGGAGTTAAAAAAAAAATGTATTGGGTAATTTCATAAAAAGCATACATAATGCTCGATACAACTACTGTTTTTACAATACTATTACGGTTTGGTTTAGGATGGCGGGTGGGGGTAGACGTTAATAAAATACAATAAATGGGAAATTTTATAAATGATATAAATAATTCTTGTTAACTTCCTGCCGCAGAAATATCTGAACTAGCAACAACCATTACTCCTCTACCTGAGCACAAGAAACCTTTATTTCACTTCAGAACATTTGTTCACAGATTTACACAATGACATTGCCTGAAGAGCCTTCTTAACTAGAGAAGCGTAACACAATGTACTGCTGTAAATAAATATCATATTTTCCAAAAATGTTCTTAAAGCTTATGATTCAATTTCATATTTGATATCACCTGACATCAAATGTCTCATGGAGCTTTGATTTCTATTTAATTAAATTTATTATTCAGCCATATTGCACTTTTTCACATTCATAAGCATACAAATGCACTGTAAAAAACTGAAGGAAACTCGAACAGGCTTGGAACAAGTGGAAAGTGATTAAATGATGACAGAATTTTCATTTCTGTGTGAACTATCCCTTTAAATGGCAGATCTGTTGCCAACATCAATAATAAAACATAACCATTGTTTTGCACCAAATCAACATATTTCTGATGATTCTGAAGAATTATGTGACACAAAAGACTGGAGTAATGAGGGTAAAAAAAATCACAGATATTAAGGTCATATTAATACTGCATTTTATTTGTAATGTGCTTTTCTTAAACCCAAAACACTACAATAGAAGATGTTAAACAAGTAAACTGATATTCAAAATTGAAAGGTACAAAAAACTAAACCATCAATACAGTTTTTAAAATATAGCGCACATAAATTAATTTAACGTTGTGTTAATATTTCACAATATTTTACTGTGCTTTTGATCAAACAAATGCAGCCTTTTTTAGAGACTTTTTATAACAAAAATAAATAAATGTCATTAGCCAAATGAACTTTACAATATTTGCTAGCATTAGTAGTGAATCAACACTATATTATAATTATATTATATTGCTTAGATTTTATATAAAAATAATAACTTCTTATTGATATTCTACATTTATACACAAATAATGAAGTCTACAAAACTGAATTAAATGTGGTTTATTGGGTAAATGTATGTGTGTTCTCTCAACGGGAGTCTCTCCCTTCTCTTCCTACTGTCTAGACTGATCCAGATCCCTCAGGGACTGCAGTCTTGGTTCAAAGCCCCCAAACAATAATCTCTTAGCTCGGAGAAAGACAGTGAAGGTTGGCGATCGCTTAGTTTGATTTTAACTGCATTGTTGTTTAGTGAAACACGAAACATGAATTATGATTCCACTCACTGCATAATGCTGGATAATTTACGTTTGATATTCTGTTCCCGCTGCACGATGCATTAATTATAAGATCAGTTATTGTATTTCTCGCTCTGTTATTGAGCGAAACAGCTCTCCACGAGTGAGTTGTTTCTGTGATATTATGATCAAAGCCCAGCAATCCTAATTTCTTTTGCCACAGGGAAAACCCAAGTATACACTTGAAATCCTTTAAGTGTGAACTGGCAATACTTTTGCTGATACGGTGTTCCTGCAGGCATTAAAGACAGATTAATTTCTTCTTGACTCACGGGGCTTAAGAATGTTTGATTTAGATATGATTTAATTTTCTGGTGAGAATCAATCAACTGCAGTCTTTTCTTTTCTTTTTCCGCCATTCAAATGCACAAATATCATTGAGTCCTCCATTTCATAAATGATTCATCTTTGTTTTGTTAGTTATGGCCAGGTTAATAATAGCTTTCACTCAATATCCTGGAATACAAATGGCAGCCTGTGCTGGTATTTTTAAAGCGTTTTGTGTTTCAGTGTAATGACCCACAGATCTGCTTACAGAGCACGATCATGATGACCAATCAGAGAAAGGCAGCAAGCTGAATCTTCCTTCGCCTCTTGAGAGCAATAGTACCCTTCCTTATAGCCTTATTTGCCATATTGTGTATGCAAAACAAACTGTGGCATAATTTACTCACCATCATGTCATTCCAAACCTGCACATAAAGATTTTATGCTATTAGAATACTACATGACCTGACAAATAATAACTAGACTTCTAGTTGATCATTGGGAAAAGTGACAGAAGGTAGATTTTTCCGATGAATCATCTGTTGAACTACATCCTGATCATCACAGATCCTGCAGAAGACCTATTGGAACTCAAGACTCTTCCCACAATCAGTCAAGTTTGGTGAAGGACAAATATAAGTAGTTAATGGCTAAAATATTAAATGTCTTCGATATACATTTGCTGAATTATCAAGTTGGGTAAAAATGGCCATTTCCACTTGATTTTTAGAGAGAACATTTAGAAAAAAGGCACCAACAACATGTTTTACATCAACATTTAGTGAAATCTGTTGATTTTAGCAACCGATTATTCATTAAGTGCCAGTTATAACAAAATGGATGACAAAAAGCAAGTTTTTTTTATTATTATTAGTACTATAAGTTTGCATACCTATAAATAAAGAAGTCTCTAACTATCTCTTAATATCCTAAATTTTTCTTTTTGGTGTATTTTAAGCCCCTATATAGTTAATTTCCAGAGATATAGGCACTTTAATGTAGCTCCAAGTATCAGTTATTAAATTAATACAGATTAATTCAGTGGTCAAAAACAATAATAATCACAAAAGTCATAACAATTGCATACAACATACCTGTCTGAGTGTCATTAATTTCTGTATGTTTCATTTTAACAATCAAATGATAATAATCAGTGCGTTAATAAAGATGTTGTCATTCTGTGCTCCATGGAGAAGAAATATGGGTCACAAGGGTGAACTAAACCCTTACTAAACTCTCACTGGGACTGAAAACACTTGGAACATGAAGGAGGCTTGTCTTGACATCCATTAATTTGCTGTAAGATTTTCTCAGATATAACAGTGGGATTGTGCCAGGGTGATCAGTCATGTTTGGTGCTTTTGGTCCCCGGTGTGCAGTTTTGCGAGTGTGCAGGCCTGCGGCTGGTGGCAGCACTTGTAGCCATCAGTGGATGATTAACTGTAGTTGCCATTTTTAAAATCAGCCCACCCAGCATCAGTAACACTGCATCAATGAGAACCGTCTAACTATTTGTTATGTGCAGTTTTAGTCCACTAGCTCGTTCTTGGCCATACAGAAATAATTATTCAGTTAAAATTAAGCTAGTCATCTGCCTTGCATTGTTGCCCTGCTTATATATGGTTATTCGCATGTGTAATTCTCACCCTTAGGTTGTTTGAAGACTGTATATTGTGTTTTTTCCCCTATAGAAAACACAGAAGAAGAATTTTGAGAATATTTTCACTTAAAGGGATAGTTCACCCAAAAAATATAATACTGTCATGTTTCATTTGATGTTCATTAATGTCTACCAAGATCTCGCCTGCACTGATGGTCTTGTGTCTCCTGTCTTATCACAATGAGTGATGAAATAAGTATTTTTTAAATATAATATAAAGAACACCTACTAGTTTCTCTGACTTGGCAAAAAAAAAAAAAAAAATAGAAAAAGAAAAAACGACTTAACTTGTAAGAAAAAAAATGAATTGTGAATTTTATTAATTTTTAATTTAAGTTCTTTTTGTTTTTCTAAGAAAGAAATCAGTGTCAAAATAAATGTTTAATGTATTTACATGAGCATGTGCATTGTTATAATCAAGTTAAAAACTTGCACGTATACACACTTTAATTTTGTAAATTGTAATTTTGACAATTATGACCCATAAGAAGACCAGTTTGAGTTTCTGTTAATTGTATACCCCAAAACTTTTAATATGGCATGTTACAAATAATTTGTTACAAGATTATTCTGTGATACCTTAATATCTTTTTATTTATTTATTTTGTTTTTACAGAATTGTTTTTGCGCTTAAAAATATTCTGTCGGACCAAGGGGGCCAAGTCAGAGCACTCACTCTGGTCCCTTGAGCTCTGCTGGTTAGGGAAATTCCTAATCGAACCAAAACAATCCATTCCATTACAATTGCTTAAGATTGGCAACCAAAATTCGGGACATTGCAACCTGCAGAACCTGGGTAGTTTAAAAAATAATATATATATATATATATATATATATATATATATATATATATATATATATATATATATATATATATATATATTCTGTCTATGTTATATATTATAACAGAAGCATTTAGATAAATCTTCCTTGTCGTCTGAAAAAAGAAGTGCATATAAGTGCATACAACACCAGTGTGAGTGAATAATTGCAAAATTAAATTTTTTTAAGTGAAATATCTTGTTTAAAAGTAAATGTCACTTAGCAGTTTGTTTAACAAATCCGCTTAATTGCTTTATAAGACTCTAAATACAGGGTTTGGGCGTTTGTTCTCTTTTTGAAACTTGACAGACATCATCACAATGCACCATTGTTTTATAGAAAAGCTTTTTTTAAAATGACCTTTTCTATTCCAGCATAGAGATTTTGTAATGACAAGAAATGACAGACTGTTGATTTTTGGATGAACAGCTTTTTTAAGAGGCATGGCAGGAGCTGTATTAGTATTAAATGTGCTGAGACTGCATGCTGGGGTCACTAACATGCAGAGCCTCTATGTCCAGCTAAGCCCTGACAGCCCAGATCCATTTCTATAATGCCCAGACCTCTTATATACATCAGAAATAGGGAGTGAATATGTAGCGGTTCATTAGCAGCACTGACTGACAACACTTAAATGGCTCCTTATCTTAAAATGAAGGAGGTTATGTTTGTGAGTAGCACTGCAGCTCTTTTGCAGAACCCAGTGAGCTGCATTTTAAAATGTTTGGCTTGTCTGACATGGAGTCTGTTTCAATGATGGGCAACCCAATTATGCTGAATTTTTTTATGAAACCACTTTTGGCCAAATTGTGAGGCAACTTGTTCATAAAAACAGCAATCATGAATTAATTTCTTGATGAATATTGTATATCCAATATGGTAGCCATGGTGAGTTTTTAATCAAATATATTTGTTCAGTACCATAAAGTATTAATAATAACACTGGTGCAATTAAAAAGTGGTTTTATATGCTTAATTTTTAAAAGATAAGACTGCTTATCGTACTTCGGGAATACGAACGACTAGATTTCGTACAGGAATAACAGCACAATCTGTGCATTAGAATAATATTTTTTATTTACTTTCCTTGGTGATGACATAAGGATGACATCTGTATTTTTAGCTGGGTAAGGCTTAAATTAAAATGATGTTTTGGAATGAAGTGAAGAGTTTGTCAAAGGTTTACGAGAACGGAAAGGCTACAGTGCTTCACATTTTCTTCAGAAATTTCAGATTAAAAACTGGACAAAAGGGGGATTGGATTACTTTTTGGCGAAACATATATATACATATATATATGTATATATATAGTTTTTATTACTCATTTATGAATAGAAATTTTTTTTTATACAGATTTTTTTTCTAATTAAAAAAAAATAACAATAAAAACCTGCCTATCTCTTATTTCATGGCAGACCTGCTTGGACAAATACATCACATCCATTAGGCTGGTCACATACGGTCTAGTCTTAGGAGTTAAAATGTTTTAATGGATCCACAGATCAAATCTGATCCGAATTTTCTGCACACGGAGATATTCGGAACTCCACGCAGCTCCAGGACTACTCTCTACTGGAAATGAATGACTTTCAATCTGTCGTTTGTTGTGTGCAGTGGAAAGGCAGCTGTACTGTTGAAAATATTGCCACCGTTGAAGACAAAGGAGGTATTTTGATGAAATTCGGACAGAATTAATTGTGCTTTAATTTTTTTGATACACAGTGTTATATTGTTTTATTAGCGCAACAACATCAAATCAGTTTTACACCAAATTTGTAATTTTTATATGAATTTTATTCAATTATTTTATTCAGTTTCATCCTTGCATCCTGCAGTTTCATCATTATGTTAGCATTAGGTATGGGCCAGTATAAGACTGCTCTGAAATATATTCTTTTTAAATGTCTGGGTAAAAACAGCAACCTTTTCCCAAATGAACACAAATATTTTATTTTGAGAATTTATAATATTTTGGAACAGTAAACATGTTAGGCTAAATACTTTAAATAAATCATTGACTTCTGATAAAAATTGCTTGGTGCACAGATAATAATATAATAGTGTAAATAAAGCAGTCACTATCCAGTACCGTTATCACAGTAATTGTCATTCACCATGGAGGGATTTGCTCCTGCAAATATATTGAATAAGCTACCAATCATTTGTAAATATTAGAGAAATGTAGCGAATTACAGCTAGCCTATTTGTGTTCTATCTTGACTTGCATTGTTTACTTGCTATGCCACTTTACTACCTCACTCATGCTCAGATTCGTTGCAGAAAAACTGTTAGATCCTTTAGCCAACAGCAGAAGTTGATTCTACACACTGAATCAGACCAACGAGCTCTGACATTAACCTGACGATAGGCAACATGTGAACTAACCAAACCAATGAGCCTGACCTATCTGACCGATATGTCTTGGCCCTTATTAGGCTGATGTGAAAGTTGGCTTACTACACTGTGAAAAATCCTGGTTGCCTTAAAATTTTAAGCTGAATCAAATTAAGCCCATGAGTCCATTGAACTTTTATTATATTAAACAGACTTACTGCTTGCATAACTTATTAAATTAAGTTAAAAACAAGATTAGCTTAGTTTAATAAGTTACAATGAACTAAAAACATACAGTATGTTGTCATGACTAATTGATCATATATTTTTTACAATGTAGGTTTTAAACACAGCTTATCATGCACAAGACAGATTCAGTTCAGTTCAATTTATATTTATTTCTATGTTGTTGTTTTTTTACAATGTATACTGTGTTAATGCAGTTTAACATGGATGAAGAAAAAAACAAAAGAGTAAAAGCCATAATATTTCAAATTGTGGAGATTCCAGCAGTTCAGGCAGGCAGGAGAGTGTAGTGTTGAATGCTGGCGTAGTTTGCTTAAATTCAGTTTAATAAAAGTTTCACAGTTCAGTTTAGCCCTGATCATTGTAATGCAAATGAAATGGCTGGAGGCTGATCCACTGAAGAGCAACTCCACCGATGCAAAGATCAAGTAAAGGAAATGAATATGAAGCGCAAGACTAGAGAGGCCTGTCTTTAGCCAAACCTGAATTGATGATGTTCATCTGCACATATCTGTGATGATTAATGCGTTTCATTTTCACACTGATTGACCAGTTCATACAGGTGCACATGAACGGCCCGCTTTCTTCTCCCCATTTTCACTCTATTTAGTCCAGTCTGAGTGATGAATTTTCCTGATGAACGCGTTTGTGTGCTGTATGACGAATCTGCTTGACTAGGCCAGTAATGCTGGATAGACAGGATACGCAAGAGTGGGCAGATTCTGCAGGGTTTCCTCTGCCTGATGTGCAGAGCTGTTGACAAGAACGATTCCTCAAATCGTGTGGAAGCTTCTTTTCAATCGTGGACAGAACATTTATTGCAGACATACAATGAAAAAGTCATTTAGAGCCATTACGTCTTATAGTGCACATTTAGATTCTTGTACAGGCAAACTTGTTTTACAGCTCTTTAACCAGAAAATCACTTTCTCTAAAAGAGATGCAGCTTCAGAATGTTGAGAATGTTCAACAGGGTGAATGCTTGCTGATTTTTTTCTTATTATATATTTAAAATGGCAGAAGGTTATTCCGGTGGATAAGTTGGTCCATCTGAATATTGATAGTTTTTTATAGCCAGGCCTTTTTTCTCATCTGTTTTGTTCTTTGTTTTGTAGATCCCACCATTCCTAATGTTCAGGTGACCCGGCTGACTCTGATGTGTGACCAGGCCCCTGGACCCATCACTATGGATCTGACAGGTAAGCCACATGCTAAAAGAAACTATCAAACAAATGCTTTATGACTCTCAGACAATTTATAATTGATATGTTTCATATATTTTGTCTCTTTAGATTTATCCAAGCTTTATTTAAATCAACACAATTTTTTTAATAGCTTAAGCTTTAATTAACATTAGCAGCTCTAATATTAGCCATTTATTAGCCAGTAATATATTATTACTGTTATTTTTATTTTTATTGTTATTATTATTATTATTATTAATAATAATAATAATAATAATAATTGTAGTAAAATAACATACCTAATGTTATTTTTGGTATTACCTATGTGGTATTATAGTATTTATTATTATTTTGAATTTTTTGTTTTGTTTTAATTAACATTAGCAGCTCTAATATTAGCCATTTACATTAATTTTTTATTTTTATTATTATTATTATTATACAAAGAAATAAACAACAAATATTTCAAAATATTAATAATAATAATAATAATAATTGTACTAAAATAACATACCTTATTTTCCTATATTTTTTTTGGTATTATTTATGGGGTATTTTAGTAATATTACAGCACATGTATTTTGTATATGTTTATTATTTTTCTATGTAGTTTTTTTTTTAGTTACACTCATTTCTTTTTATACACTACTAGGGAAATTGTAAGTAATTTGAAAGTATTAAAGCATTAAGTATTAAAGTAAAAAGTCAATAAAAAGTATAAAGTATGAAAATTGGCATAATTTTATGCTTTTTTATATGATTAGAATACATGCAAATAAACTATGGCATACACATTTATAAAAAAGGCTCCTTGATGTCCAGCAAAAACTAAAGTAACTTTGTCAACATATCTTGTGGTTTATAGCTGGACTAACCAACAGACCAATCTCAATGCATTATTTAATTATCTGTTCAATCAATGTTGATTTTCAGTCATTCTGTGGATCATTCCCCTCCACACAGTTCTACTAATCACTGCTTCTTTGAGTTCGCACATGTGCATGTTGGTATCTGATTTGACAGCATCGAGCCAACAAGTTCTTGGGCAGCCTTTCCTCCTATCCACTAACTATTTCCAGCATAACTGCCTTCTTGAGTGAATTGCTACGCATGGCATGGCCAAAATAGGATAATTTCTTTATTTCAATGCACATCATCTTAAATAATGTTATTCTGAATTGTTCAAGCCAATGTCTGTTATCAAAATTTTATTTAATCATCTCTCAGAACTGTCTTCTAAAATTATTTTGAAGAAAACAAGAGCTTCAGTGGTTTCCCTGCTTGAAGAAATTTCCATTTAAATGATAGGTTCACAAGTTTGCACTAATAATTTAGAGAGAGTATGGTAATGCCCATTTGGCACCTCTTTGTGACAGTTTTTTTCTTCTGAACACAGATGTGCTTTTTATCTATGCACAATTATTTATATCCTAAGTTATGATGCATTCACAAATTCACAACATATCCCTATTTCAAATATAAAGCACCCATCTTGTATTTTTTGCATGGTTATTAGTGTTCTTGGAGGCAATAGTAGTGTGGCTTGAGGTGAGTGGGTTGAATCTGTGGTCTGTATTGTCCTCACAAAAGCTTCTGGTCAAGAGCTGGAGGGGCATTTGCTTAGTTGACACTATTGACAGAGGCTCAGTCGCCCTGCGCTGCATTTTAATGCTTCAGCTCAATGATGTCATTCCCTCCTCTGCCAGCCAATATCATGCACACAGGCATGAGCAGGAGATCCGCAACACAAATCCACCACACCCAGCGCTGTGTGTGACCCTGTACCCGCCCTGGAGGAGCCTGGCGGGTTTCTGCCAGCCGTCTCTGTCCTCAGCTGATTCAACAGTGTATTTCGCTATTTAACAGCAGGAGCACAGCAAAAAGGTCACCTGGTTGCTAGGCAATGGAATAATTCTGGGTTGTTTAAGTCGAAGCTTTATAGTAAGACACTGCAGATAAAAGAAGAAGCTATTATTTGTACTGACTAACTGCTATTAGATATCGACTAATAGTTATTATCACCATAAACCCATAGTTAATTGATTACATTAAGAATTCCACAGATTTGACAAGTCCTCTAAAATGTTGTTTAAATATGCAAATGAGGCATTGGTGAATTAAATATGTGTTCATTTGCATAGATTCTGATTCAGAAGTCATGTCTAAAGTTCTTGTTTGAAGAATAAAGATATGACTAAAACTGCTCAAATGGAGATTTATGACTGCCTTCATAAATATGTATTGAAATTGATGAAGTGTTACAAAAGACACATTTAAGCATGAATTTTAACATATTTTTATTTACATTAGACTGAAAAGACACTATGAAATGAGTTTTGAATTAGGAGGCCTTTTCTGATATTATATGTAACACCTCATTTTGTAGGAACCTGCATGTTTCCTCTTTTAGCATAGATCTCTGTGGTTTGTTTGAGCTGGTACAGGAAGACGGTGCCCTCTTAACACAGAATACATTGTTGCAGTTTTGAGTGTGGACTTCCTGTTCTGCAGCTTTTTTTTTTTTTTTTTGTAAATTGCCTCTGCACTTAAACATGAGGAACAAAAACTGGTTTATATTTTTATTAGTTCCTTGGTGGCTGGTTAGTTGAGTTTAAAAAGAAACTTCACCCAAACATTGGAATTTCATTGTTGATTACTCTGCATTAGTTGATTCAAGATTTAAGTGACGTTTTTATCTTCTTGAGATTACACAGAGGAACTAAGACTCCGGCATCTGTCACTGAGTTAGCATGGTTACTACTAGACTGTAAAAAATGTTATGACAAAAAGTCAAGACCAATACTTATATTAACATATTTTAATTTAGGTTTCAACAAACATTTTTAGATTATCCAAAGTTTAATTTAATATTTCAGTCATTTTAATTGATTTAAGATGAGATGACTAGTTTATTGTTTATTGTGTAATAAATAAGTGTGTTGTTTGATAGAAGTGCATTTATTTCAAACTGTGATCAAAACTGACTGAAAATACCTATATTAAACCATTTTAGTACACTATTTATTGCACTGCTAATCAGAATCAAGAATTTATAGGGTCATGAAATCCCCCTCTTTCAGTTCAAGTCTACCTTAGGATTTAAAAAAAAAATGCTTTATGATGGGCGTTAAGATGGGAGCAGAAAGATGAGTGGGTGTGGCCAGCAGAGCAGAGAAAATAACAACTATCAGTTGTTACTTATTGTCAGTAAGTAATTTAAGGCTGTTACATATACAATAGGTTATTCGTAGTTTCATATAATATATAACCACAATTTGTTATATCATTATAAAGATAATATTTATATATGCTATAAATGAGGAGGACTTCTCTCCTGAATCCCGGGTCTGAATACAGACACAGTGAATAGCAGTGTAGCAGGTCTCTTGCCCTATCTATTTCAATCGTTAGTCCTGCCGGTAATCTGGAGGGTTTTAAACATATGCAAACGCGGCAGCACGGATATAGGCAATGGGTCTGAATGGTAACAAACTTAACTGATAAAAGACAATATCCAGCATTCTCCAGTTCTCATACAGCTCTCCTGACAAAAATGCTTACTGCACACAAACAGCTTGGCTGTATCAGCCCTGACAAGACCGTGGGGTAAAACATGTTACAAACTCCATGGATCATGGAAACAAATACATACAAGCCTTTATAAACGGCTAAATACTGCATGTCGTGTGCTGTCTCACAGCTTGGCAGGTTTGTGGTCTGTCCATATTAGTCTGTCATCAGAAAGCACATGCAGTCTTGAATAATTAAGAAGCAGGCTCTTCTCATAGGATAAGAAACTCAGCTATGAATAATAATGAGAAACTGAAGATGAAGATAGCTAACAAAAAGCTCCAACTTATGCATTTTCCTCCACAATTAAAGCTGACAGATGCTAACGTTCTCTGTTTAATGTATCGTAAACGTAACGTAATCTGTTAAAATCTCAAGAAGTATTCCAGAATGTCTTGAACCTTTAAAGAGAACATAAAATAACTAACATTAACATTGACACTTTAACCAACAAGTTTTGCAGATTTGGACCAAACACTTTCTTGCAATTACTTCATATCTTTACAAAGCAAACAGACAAAACAAACAAAAAAACAAAAAAAAAACACTGCATTTTTAAAAAGTGCTTTACACAAGTGAGTGGGCTTGACAAACCACCTGTAGAAAACACATTCTTTCATGTCTCTAACCAGACACTTTCTTACAATCTCTATAAAAAATAGTAAAACACCCCCCTCTCTTAACTCTAGCACTTAATTCTCTGAGCACTAGTCTGAGCACCTTTTGTATAACCAGCACATATTGTGTGTATTGCCTCTTCTTGTTGAATCGCTGAGTACCTCCTCAATTGTAAGTCGTTTTGGACAAAAGCATCTGGTAAGTGAGTAAATCATTTATTCATTCATTTTTCTTTGGCTTAGTCTCTGATTTATCAGAGGTTACCACTGCGAAAGGAACTGCCAACTATTCCAGAATGTGTTTTACACAGTGGATGCCCTTCAAGCCGCAACCCAGTACTGGGAAAACCGATGCACTCTCACATTCACACACTCGTACACTACAGCCAATTTGGTTTATTCAATTCACCTGTAGCACATGTCTTTGGACTGTGGGGAAAACCGGAGACACCCGGAGAAACCCCATGCAAACATGGAAACTCCACACAAAAATTCCAACTGGCCCAGCCAGGACTTGACTCCTACTTGCAGTGAGGCGACAGTGCTCACCACTGAGCCACCCTCCTGCCTAAATGACAAAATTTAAAATATAACAAATGGAGCTTGATTGTAAAGAAAGGAATAATTAGGAATAACTAACATTATCTTATGGAACCAGATTGTAAAGTGTTATAGCATAATCGCAGACCTCGCTGCCTGAGCAGTAAGCAGGAGAGCACATTAGCGATGTGTGATCCAGAAACGCAGATGTGCTCTTGCTGCAAGTAACAGTCGAGCGTGCCACCTCGTGCAGGGACGTCCGCTGGGATGGAGCAGGCTAACCAGACT